TAGTGCAGTTTGGCGTAGTCGGTAACGCAGTCCATATAAATCCAGGATGCCTCGGTTCAATTCGCTTGCTGGGCAAAAAGTATTTTATATCCCCAGTATTGTTTGTGTGTATAAATATGGCTAAAATGAAGGGAAAATAACTCAATCAAAACTTGTTCATTTTGCCACCCTGGCTGTCTTTGGGTGGTGGAAGACGCCGTACCCTTGGGTGGCCGCGTGCTGGCCACCCCGGCTACGGAAACACCATTAGACATAACTCATGGGTCAAAAATGCCGGGAGCCTGACACAGAATAAAATCAGACATCAAACTACCTGCCAAAAGTGGGAAATCTCCATTTTCAGATTACTTACAACATAAAATATAACCACAGAAAGCTGATAATCAACAGCAGCAGGAAAAAAGAAGCAAAGGGGGGTCCGGGGGGAAATGCAATGGCCCCCCGTAGGGGGTCTGGGGGGAACCCCCAGGCAAGGGGGGGTTGAGGGGGGACAGCATGTCCCCCCTCATAACGTGTACAAAAAACTATAATAAGTCATAAATCACGGCAAAACCCCGTAAACAAACTCATAACAAGATACCGTCGAAACCCGGCAGCACCCGTCAAGTTTGCGTCAAAATCCTGGTCAAAGTCACGTCAAAAACCCCGTTCAAATCACGTCAAAGTCACATCCAAACTGACCGGATACAGGAATAAATATTCAACACCACTTTAGTTCAACTTGGACCCCCTCAGAGAATCTGCTTCTGCACATATTTTATCATTTATTTCACCCAGCCCACTTGGACTAAACTGATAGTGCCAGTCAAAATCAATATATTAAAGCTCTTAGCATTACATATCTAAATACGTTGTGAACTCTCGACAGGCGGCACGAGCCGGAGCTTGAGTCACGTGACCTTCGTGGGGGTGGGTTGAAGGACCCGCAGCTAGCGACAGACGGCGCTTCTCGAGTATGTCACTTCCCATTGACAACAAACAGCTCGTATTTCTCTATCCCTGACTCCCACGGTTGTGGGAGGAGGATTTTGTCGAGGCAAAACGTTAGCTGAACCACTATGCTTGCTCTACCCGTGAAAGTACTAGGTCCACCGTGGGCCGCGTACGTAACCGCTCGTGCAAGAGAGCGCCGGTTCGAATCACCCTCCTCCCAGATAACGGCTCATCGCGATTCGTCGCAGTTCTTGAGATATAAAGGTGCCACGGCTATATACTGTAAGTAATCTGTGGCAGAGAATATCTGAATTCCATACTCAGTGATTTGTCAGTGCTGTACATAAGAATCTGCTCATCAGTATCCTGTCCCGGGAGTCCTTATGCCGCTACGATATAATATATTCATCCAGCGAAGCACATCACAGCATTTTCTGTGTCTTAGCTAGCGATCCAAGGCCTACCAAGGCAAAGTCAAGCTTAGACTTGTCGTTGCACGGTGGCACCAGCTACTTGCGTCAATGATGTCAGACTCCCGCTCAATGTGAAAAGGACACGTTACAGGACAGGTCTGTCCTGTTTTTCAGCCACAGCGAAATAGGACACCTCGCTTGTCCGCCGTGTGCAGTGCAGCTGCCTCAGCAGGGTTTGGAGTCTGAGCCCCAGTGGAAATCGACAATATTTTCGTGTTTTTAGATACTTTAAATATATTTGCATGTATTTGCTTCTATATTTTGGAGGCCACAGACGGCTCAATGACACTTGCATGACACACCCTTGACCTACTCTACCTGCATCAGGTGCACGTCATACGGAGATGCGACGCTGTCGAGTACGTCACGTGAGTGCATGCCTCGCGTGTCGCCTGCGTGAGCTGTTAGAGTGTCAGCCGCGGACATGCCTCCAGCGCGTTGGTGTATATTTAGCTGCAGTGATCGCAGTATGACATCACTTGCTGCTCTCTCGCAATTCATAATGTCGTCGCGTCGCAATAACAATCATCGGCGCGTTTTCCTCTTAACTATAAGGTATCCCCCCATGTCATGCTCTAAGGCATTCACCAAGATGACATGCTTTTTTCCTTAGGCTGGATTTTCGAGGCTAGCAATGAGCGAAGGCATAGGGACAGAGTGAGTAAGTGCTAGTTGTATTATGAAATTATAATATTTGACTTCAATCTCGGCACAGAAGGCAATACCGGTGGAAAGGGTGTGTAGGTACGTCCCCATTGCAACTACACCACCTGTTACGGGAGACAGTCCTCACCCGGGATTCGGGTAGGGAGGGGGGAAGGGGACTCCGGATACGAGGGGGAACTGGGGCGACACAGGGCAGGTGTGATCATCGGGGGACCGGCAGTACAGAGGTGGGAGGGTGGCTCACAATACAGACAATAACACAATAGAAAAGATAGAAAATTATAGTAATATGTGTAAAAACATCAAGGGGGGGATGTGAGGAGGCAATATATGAGGATGTCAGTGAATATCTTTAAAAGCATGACAATACATGACTGCCCGTTCTGGCACCCGGGAAGCCCATATATGCGGCGCACAATGTCTGTATATCCTCCTGCTTTTGTAGCTATTTTCGATGTATTTAGATCTATTACCTAACCTATGGCATGCCGGCTTTGACAGCTGCAAAATTTGCTAGAATACAAATCCATGTATTTAAAGTGCCACTTACTACATTCCCCTGTATTTAGAACTGTTTTTCTACCTGTTATATATAGAAACATATTTAAAAACATGAGAAAATTGTCGATTTCCACTGGGTCTGAGCACCCATTCTTTTGGACTGTCCCTCCAGGCCAGGAATGTCAACCCTCTGCCAGGTCGTAATACACCCTGTATCGTGTACACCCTGCACACGCCCACCACTGTCTTAGCAGCAACACATCTTGTGCACACAGGCAGCCACACCATGACCACCCAGGCCATCCATAATCACTGCTTTTTCACAAATCCCAAGCCAGCAAGTCACGTCAGTCACAGGCTGGAAAAACCCTTCCAAACTTCACAGGGGTTTCCAGTGCAAGTTGTGCAACTCAGGTTCTTCTTTAGACAGGGGGTTACCAAATACAATAATCCTGGTTATTTGTCATGCTATCCTAGGAATAACTACATCCAAACAGAGTAAATGCACATTCATCTAGAAATAAACAACTCAGCTCCTTCACAAGTAAAATACATGACATCAAGCCTGTAACCGCAAATCCGAGAATGCACGGCCGACTGACAGAAAGTCCACGTAGCCCTATAGCCTAGCCCTATAGCCTAGCCCTATAGCCCTGGTCCATGGCCCTCGGAGGGCTATAGGGCTATGAGGCTACGAGTCCGTAGCCCCGGGCCACGGGGCTATGAAGACAAAAGTGGACGGGCTATGGGAGTCCGTTACGTCTATGGCCCGGAGCTATGTGACAAGGCTGAAGGGTCCCGCAGTGTATATATACTGTTGCGCGAGGTGCATTCGACGCCCTCATAGACGACGTAGGGCGCTGTAGACTATTTTTACCCATACAAATTGACTGTACTGCAAGATCTATTTATGTATTGAAGGATAATGGACTCGATAAACGATACAGGATGGAATCTGGAATCTGCAGCTTGTCGCGTATGTGGCATACAGGTCTCGCACTTAGCAGAGTATTAATCGCGCACCCTAACGGGTCTACAACCGTCTGAAGTTTTCTGGATTCAACGTGCACATACGTGACAGCGGCAACACTATTAGTACTACACAACTTGTTAACTTTGAAGTGGGCGTGAGCTACTGATTGCAGTTTCATTGTTAAATGTTTTCATTGACCAGTACTATATGTATTCTATAGGTACTATGTAACATATTAACACTGTACCTACATGCGCGAGGGGGTCGAACGACGTGCAGCGCGTCGGAATGAGCATCAGTATATATACCCACCACATTCACCACTCTCGCTTATGTTCTGTGACGATCAAAGGGCTCGCTTGCGAGCGCCCGAGAGGCCCCGAGGGGGCCAGCAAGCCAGCTTGCTGTCCTACCCTAGACAAGGCTAAGAAGTTACGAAGTCTATGTAGCCCGATGACAAATGCGCTATGGGCCATGGGCTATAGGGCTACGTGGACTTTGTGTCAGCCGGCCGGGTCCTCTGGCAAATCCACCCCAGTCCCTCCAACATCCTATTTCCCAATAACAACAGCACAGTCAACTGAATGTCACATGTCACTGGGAAAAAGAAATGGGAGATCCCCCGACGACACAAGCCGGTAGTGCAGTGGCAAGGTCATCACGCCCCCGAGTTGCAAGCAGAGCTCGAGGAACAAGGGCGGCAAAAATTAGATAACCAAAAATGAGGGCGGTGCCCTCATAATAGTGGTTAAACTATTAAGAACAGATACTACACTTGATCTAAGCCAAAAGGCCAGAGTGGTAGGGAATAGGAGAGGATGGAGCGAGGTTTATATACTCCGGGAGATGCGCACGGACCAAGGGCTCTTCGCTTGTCACGACGGGCGATGATGGCATGCCACAAAGAATATACTGTGGCTTGCAATTGGCGCAGTCGACTTAGTCGAACTAGCTGCAGCAGACGCATCCGCTCAGGAAGGGATAGAATTCGCCATTTTATCTACACTACAATAGGATCCCGCGACGACGACGAAGCCTAATTATACCGAAGTAGTACATTATCAACACGACATATAGAATAACTAATCTAATGGGACCATGCAGATGCGTGATGCTCGTGAACTCATGAAAATGCGTGATATGGTAGAAAAGACTGATACGATTACAGCGAAATGATCCTGGTACCAAAGTCCGCGACAGAATGCGGAAAATCTGAGCCTGGGCAGCTCATAAACATAAGAGAGCGCGGAATATCGAGGCGGTGGGCGAGAGCGGCGACCGTTGTGGGATTAAATGGCGCCTTCACGAAGATCTGCGGAGTATCAGATACGGTCGGATTCTATATAGCGGTGCGATTTGAATCCAGACGTACCAAGTCCACAGTCATTTCCGGGAACGCTTCGTCGAGGACTGGGACACAGTTTAGTGTAAGTTGCGTGTCACACTTCCAGCGAAACGAGCTGAACTCACTCTTCCAATTTGCCTCCATCTCGCTCGGGATGCCCTCATCATCATCATAAAAATGCACGAGCTTGAGATTACTCGTCTCCTCGTTCTGTCTCACGTACAGCACCATCTGGAACAAATGGTTGATCTGCGTTGCGCGTGTCATTGGCATTCATCGGAGAATCCAATCCAAGAACCGCACCTCGTCCGTCTTACAGAGCACGCACACCGGCTGCCTCCGCATACGCATCATCACCTCCGTCAGCCTCTCCGCCCAGTCCCGCGTCCACGACCAAGTGTGCAGGATGACGTTCTGGTCGTACGCCCAGTACATCAACCTCACGAACCGCCCTTTATTCTGCGTCGCGTAGAATAGGATGATAATCGCCACCAGGTACGCCGCGAAGTACCTACATACGCTCGCTTCAGCCGCACTCCATAGGACAGGAAGAAGGAAAAGACGCACCCGAGCGTCGTCGGATCGATCGCGACATTCCCAGCAAACACCGCGGCGCATATAGCCAGCGTCACGAAGACGACGGTCAGCCCCGTCTTCGGCTGCCTGGGCAGCCTCCCGCGATTGAACTTCAACAGCAGCACTGCCAGCGGGAAGAGCGTCATCGTACTCAGCCAGACCAGCGAGAACCTAACATACATTAATGAGCACTACACGACGAGTCGCCGTTATCATAGGATGGCTCACATTTTCGATACAATAGACAGGCTAGCTCCGGCGCTGGCATATAGCGCGCCGCTGAACGCGACGAAAGCGAGGACGGCAACGTACGGCGAGCCCGTTACGGGCATCGTTTTGAGGAACGACTTCGGGAGGACGCGGTCGTGTGCGAGGCGCTCAATAAGTTCGCAAGCACTTAATATCCCTAATATATGGGATGTGAGTGCCGCAATAGGAGCAGCCAGTCTTCCTCATACCGGTGAGGACTCCTCCGCATAAGACCACAATAGCGTCGATTACCGTCCATACCCTCAGCCACTTCCCAGCCACCTACACAATGAACGAGCGTGAATACCCGGCCACGTACATGGGGGATTGGAATTACCTTCTCTGCAAGGTCGCGCAGCACATTCGCGTCGCCCTTGATCATGTCAAGAGGAACATTGGCGAGCAGGAACACCATAGTGACCGAGGACAGGAATATCGCACATAGGTGCAGGTTTCGCAGGACCAGCGGGTAGCGACCGAGCTTCACGCTCGCGATATATGCGGGCGTGCCTAGCGAGAGGGGTGAGTTTGAAGATTGCTGCTGAGGATAAGTTAGGGAAGCGCATACACACATTCGAACCCAGTTAATCCGAGCATCCCGATGCATATACCGTTGAAGATCTGGTGAACGATGCTCGCAGAAGAGCCCGCTTGCCCGGCCGCCCAGTTGTCCTTGAGCAACTGCGAGCCGTGGCGGCCCCAAGAAATAGCTGAGGCAGTCCATAGGACCAGCATTGTAACCACCTAAAGCACAACGATCGTCACTTCAACCGCGCACATACACTGTATTATAGCAGAAACCCACATGCAAGGACAAGACAGCGAAAGCAACTCTCGCGCTCTCCTTCATCCCGCTCAGACTGACAGCAGTAAAGACTATCAAAACCAAAATAGCCACCACGAACGCCGGGAACGGGAGCGTGACCTCCCCCGCTAGGTATGACGCCGCTGTAGCGGCGGACACGATTGCAGTAGAAGAGAAGTCGAGCAGCAATATAGCCGCGCCGACGAGAGCCAGTGACTTCGACGTCACGTTGAGTCTAGTAAGAGCTGCAATGTCAGTTATGCCATTCTATGCAGCGTAGATAGCCTCACAAATAAGTGTACGGTGCACCGCTTATTGGAAGGGCGGACCCAAGTTCTTCCATAATAGGTCGCCAGAGGAAGAGCATCACCGCGGCGATGAATAATGATATTGGAGAGCTGCGCAAAAGTACCAGGTTGAGCAGCCACGGCAGCAGTAGGACTTGGGACCTACTATACGCCCGATACCGCGACGATCGCAGGTAACGTATAGAATACGCTCCCGAGAACATCATTGCCCGCCAAAGCGCTAGCAGTGAACTGCCCGAGGACCTTGCCCCTTTGTCCCTTCTGCAGTGTTTCCTCCCCTTTGAGCTGCTCTTCACGAGTAAGGAAGATCGTGGAGACGGTTCCCCAGCCGGCGAACTCGAATTGGTTTGAGAGGTTGAGGAATCGGGAAGGGATGGCGGTAAGTTTAATTCCACCGCCCTCCCGAGGTCGCGTACGTTGCCTCCTTAGGACGATATCGAATTGCGCATCAGCGAAGGACGGGGGGTTCATAGGAGAGGTGGTGAAGTCGGGGGAAGTGGCTTCGCGCACGATGCCACAAAGGTTCAGCAATACAATAATTACGTTATAGAATAGTACTCACCATGGTCCTCAGCAGAGTAAGGGGGCCGCAAAGGTGGCTCTATGGCAATCCAGGGCGCGTCGGTGGCTTCATCAACGGAGCGGTTCATAGCACTGCGCGTCCTGACGCGTTTCCTGGGCGAGCTCTGCAAGCTTTGCAGCTCAAAGGGCGTCTCCTCCTTTCCGGATGCCATCGTAATAAATAAGCGTTGAACAAAGACAGGCCGATGCAAGAAGTCCTTTGATCAGCGGCAGCTGTAACCTAAACCCTCCGTGTCACGAAACTCATAAAGAACGATTGTGCTCTCATAAAGCTTGGAGAATAAGAGTAACTCCAGACCAGTAGACCAGGTATCTTGGTTACTGTTGTCGCCCGGGATGGACGCGACGAAAGGTGGGCAACGGAGACTCGGAGCAACGGACGGAAAGAAGCGGTCGATCGCAAAGCGTCGGGATTTTCCATCTTTGGGAAGGGTCACGTGGCGCTGGCAGACGCGCTAAGTGTGCCAGCTTGCTCGACGCGCAGCGTTCACCTTGCTCTTTCCTTACCCCGGTCGCCTCCTTCGATAATGGCATATGTTTCAGTAGAATCCGATGATGTACGACCCTGCGACTTATTATGCTGTGTCTCAACCGTCTCACCGTCGTCGTTAGCGCTTCGAAGAAGGTCAAGAAGGACTGCAATTCAAGTGTACGCTTCGTTATATTATAGGCGTCAAGCTCCACATTCTGCATTGCTCACAAGGCACGCGAAATAGCGTTCCTCGGTGACCAAACGGCTTCTGCACCTCAAAACGGCGGAGGCTCGCGGACTACGTCTCGAGGGCCTGCGGGCTTCTGGACAGTAGAGTACTACCAGCCTTTCTTCGACGTGGACACTCAAACTGTACGTGTATCTTTGAACACTAGTCTGGAGTGATTGTGCTGAACGTCTCATTAGGTGATCAAGCGTTGCTACACCACACTCCTGCCTACCTCCTCATCATACCTTTCAACCCACTTAACCCCTGCCGCCGATCTCTATGGTCCTTTCTGGACACTAACCACGCTCATATTCACCCTCTTCCTCTCCTCCTCTCTCGCATCATCCATCTCAGCGTACCTCTCCGACTCAAATGAGCCCGTCGATTACAACTTCGGCCTGCTGAGCATCGCGGTGACGTTAGTATACGCATATGGTTTGGCTTTGCCAGTACTACTGTGGCTCGCACTGCGGTACTTGGGTGTGGGGGAATGGAGCGTTGTGGAAGCGATCGCAGTGTGGGGCTATGGTCAATTTGTCTGGATACCGGTATCCGTAAGTAACCGTATCTGTGGGTTGAACATCTGTCCGTCTAACCAACATAGCCGCCCAGATACTATGCGTCATTCCAGTACCAATAATCCGCTGGGTCCTCGTCGGGGTCGCGTTCGGACTGTCTGGCTACTTCCTTGTTGCCAACGTGTACCCCATCCTAGCCTCCGTGCGTTTTGATACTTCATCACTTGTTTTTGATTCCGTGATAACATCCGATTAACTGAACAGGCGGAGGCAAAGGCGACTCGCCTTTTAGTCATCCTGGTAGCCCTGCTTCATGCTGGGCTTGCGCTGTCTTTCAAGGTCTTGTTCTTTAGTTACTACATCGTAAAGGAGGTAGGGCCTGCAGATCCTCTTCCGACCGATCCTGTCGGCCGTCTATGAGCATTGAATTTTATCCTCCTACTGGAATCTCCCTGTTTGTAATGATGCTCTCCCGGGTCTCACCTCGCTTTTGAAGAACAGTTCCTCATCAAATGACAGTGAAGTCTGATACGACACAAAACCCTATCATTGGTCTGAAGTACAACAGTACATGGAATTATTTCTCATTACTTCGTAACACAGACACCAAAGAAAATATCCGAGGAACTGTTTATCATCGCCCAACTCCGAGCATCATCTCCTAACCGCTGGTGAAGGAAAGCTGCGGCTCCCTTATGGGCAGAAGGTGAGGGTGTAGTCGGCCTTGAGGCCGGAGTCGCAAGTCCAGAGGGCGGTGCCGCTGCTCTCGTCGTAAGCATAGACGTAGGAGTTGGGGCAGTTGCTCTCTGCACGCTCAATTAGCAAGGACGCTCAAGTTATGCGGACGAGGAGGTACGTACTGAAGTAGTCGTAGTACTGGACGCCGGAGGCCGGGCACGTAGCGGGCGTGTTGTGCGAGCCGGAGCAGCAGTTCGCTGAGTTCGCTTGGTTGCCGTCCAGGTTGGCCTGGCAGGCGGACTTGCAGCCGACGGGGAAGCCGGAGGAGTCGAAGGGACCCTTCAGGGGGGCGGGGCCTGTCACAGATGACGTGAGTCGATGTGTTTGAATAAGGATGAGCATGATGACTTACAGTTAGGTCCGAGATCGACCGGGCAGTCGGCGACGGGGCAGCCCTTGTTGTTGGAGATCCGTGCAGGAAGGTTGTAGCCATCAACGAGGGAAACTATAAAATACTATGAGTATGTGGGGACACTTATCAAGACGACGAGACCTTACTATCGTAGAAGTCTCGGTTGCCGTCGCCCTCGAGAGTCCACTCCGCCACAGTGGCAGGAGGGACACCCTGTCGCAGTTGTGAGCGACCTGGTACTCGGTGATATAAGTACTGAGTATGAACTTACAGTGCCGGTGTGAGGGTCGCACTGGAGACCGCCGTTGCATCCACCGTCAAGGCAGGAGTTCGGGCCCGGGTTGGTGCTGAAGTCGCAGTTACGGCGAGCCTGCGCGACATCGTCTCAGTTTCAGCGTCTCCATTATCAACATCTAGGAGACTCACCCAGATACGACCGGCCTTCCAGTTGTCAGGGACGGTGAAAGTGACGTGGGTATAGGCAGCTGCTTCCCATCCGGTCTGGAAGTTGGGGACCGCGGACCCGACGTTCAAATCGGTGAACATGGCGGGCCTGCCGGCAAGGTAAGTCAATATTGCGAGGCATGGGAGCAGCAGGATACTCACCAGATAGTGAAAGGGCAGCCATTGTACACAGTGAAGGTACGCGCCGAGGCGGCGGTGAGAGCAGAGAGCGCAGCAGACGCGAGGAAAGCCTTCATGATGGTTGAGTTAACTGCAGCTGTTGCTTCAGACGAACCTGAAGGTCTCCTCGGATGGGGATAAGGTAGATCCCAACGCCTCTATTTATACATTTCCTGGCCATCTCTCAGAGCAAGGAAGTCTGCAGCGACACACGTTCAGGTCCCAGTCGGGCTCGCGACCCACACCGTCAGCTGGCCCTCGTGCGTGCCCCTTCATTATCGGGGCCGACCTACCCAGGACGCGCAGACTGCCAATTTTTTGATAGCCCTGGAAACGATGGTGAGTAGACCACAGGTGCCATGCTGTGCCATGCAGCCCACTTGTCGCGAGACAGCGATCGAGGCAACCTGATTCTGCCAAGGCGTTGAATATGACGGATGCCGCTGATGTCATGCAGGAAAGGCTGCCTGCATATAGTTTACACTCGGGGCCGACGATCAGGAAGGCAAGCCGACAACAAGACCGCTGTTGCTGAGAGCAAGGCCTGACACCCACATGATGCTAGAGTTGCATGTGGCCGTCGACAGTACGTTTGCCGGAGATTTTCTGGAAGCTAGAACGTATCACCAGTGACCCTGGAGACTTGAGGCGCTCCGACCATACTTCGATCACAAGGCTGGCCACAGCAGTATTGTGAATGTTGCTTTCGCTCTCTGAGCACAAAGGCTGCCACAGAGCGTTCAGTAGCGGCCGTCCTCATCAGATTTTCCCGTCTGCTAGATAAGGCATTGATGCGCGAAGCGAGATTGAGAGTGCAAAGGCTCCTTCCTGTTCTTCCGTCCAGGACCGTGAGTTATCTGAGGAATGTGTTGCATGTGGATCCTGATGCTACGACAGGCTACGACGGCTCATACTCGAAAGAATGTTGGGAAATTGATCTCCCGGAGCGTACCGTGAAACAAGGACCGTCACTGGTGGTCATGGAACCACCCATACTGTACTGCAGGGTCACGATACCAGACTGCGTTTCGGTGAAGCATTCAGTAGCATCCACCGCGAGGTTTTTCTCTCCGGAGGAGGAAGTATCTGGAAAGATGCGCTACAGCTCTGCGCATGCCGCTGTGTTTGGAGACCGGATCAAGGTGAACACCTGACTATGCCAATGCGTATCCTCGATCAAAATGATCTGCTGTCGCAGCCGAGCCACGCGCGCCTAATGTCACCGCGATGTTGCATGCCAGTAAAGAATGTGGCTAGGACGTTCGAGGCGTCTTGGGGAAAAAGCGTGTAGAATTCGTTCATCGTACACCATTCGTAGTTCGCACGGCGGGCAAAGCAGGTGTCCTTTTTCCGGACGGCAGGAAAAAGGACACTATGTCCTTTCACGGCGACCATCAGTGGGTCAGGAAGTAAATCTGTCACGATTGCGTCATGGTCGTGACAATGGGTCACGCAGTCTGCATTTATAATATGAAAAACCCTCGGACGCTCAGTTTTACAAAGCGAAGCATGCCATATGACCCGATAGGTGACTTTCCGTCCATATTCGGACCTTAGGCTCCCATCCGAGCCGTAACATCACACTTCGGCAGCTACCGTCTCGGACCTCCAGCAGCGTCTACTTAGGTGGCACTGGGCAGAGTACCGTACTTGCATGGTTTTTGTATCCATCAGCAAGCAAGGTGGAATGTACTCTCATATCTCCATGCTCAACACTGTAGAGCCTGCCAGAGTTGAAGTTTGTGAATATCAGATGAGATTTGAGACCTGGTAGCTACGAAGTTGCTTGCTATGCGATCTGGACGCACACCATGAATCGTCTCGAACGGTTCTCAAATACAATGGAACAGCAAGCCGAATAAGCGAGCCGCATACAGGCGTGCTTTGGTGATCTCGACTATACGATGCTGAGGCAGATATGTCGGAGCAGTCGTTTGACCGGCAAAATCAAGG